AGAGAAACCAAATATAGCTTCAGGACCCTTTGTGTGAGTGTTTAGAGAAACGGCCCTAAAAAAATATAGAGCTTCGAGTCCAAAAAAAAATATTATTTTAATTGGTTGGGCTGCGGGCTAGCGAGAAAATTTGGGTTTACAGAACCCAGGCCCACATATTGGCTAAGGAAGAAAAAGTGAAAACTAAATCCCGATAATAGGGTTTAAGGTTTCATATGGGCTAAGTAAACAGGCCCAAAAGAAAAACTCTTTTTTTCACACGAATTGGACTGCAGGTCCAATCTGGAAAAAAAACAAATGGGCTAGAAAAAAAACAAAAGGCCCAAAACGGGTAGGATAGCCAAACTGGGCTGGTTGCCTATTTGGTTCTCTTGGGGTCTGCTGTCAAGACCTGGCCCAAAAAACTGAGGGCCCAAGAAAATTGAGAACCAAGCCCTAGGCCCAAAGGGTGGGCTCGGGTTGTAGTGGGCTGAGCATAAGCATGGAGGCTCAAGGCCTCGGGTCAGGTTGGGGATACCCCAGCGAAGGCTGGGTATACTGCCAATGACTAGACAAGGAACGGCGCTGCAAGTGGCGGCGATTTCCGAACAAAATCGAACAGGGTTTTGATGGGGAAGGGTTCCAAACATCTGACAAGTGAGAAATCTCGAACTCCATTGAGATTTCGAAGGAAAACTCAACGGGCTCTCGTCGGGAACGATGTTGTGGGATTGAGGGACAACTGCCAGTCGTCGGAATGAGCCGGGGGACAACCTGAGAAGAATCGATTTCACCATGTTTTGTTGAAAACCGATGCTGAGATAAGCTGCAGGCCATCTAGAGGGCGACCCAACCTCAGGGAGTTTGGAACAGTGAAAGGCTCGGTGCGGTTCCAACGCCAGTTGGGTACTCAAGCGTTGGGCATTTGGGTCAGGCCGAACAGATTTGTCATGTTTCTAGGCCCAAATTGGAGCAGGCTTGGTTCAGTGCAAGCTGCACACTGGCCATATGAAATCAAGGCCTAGTGAAAGATAGACTATGTTTTCAAGCCCAATACGAATACTAGGGTTTCAACACCCTTTTTTCTTTCCTTAGGAATATTATGAATATAATGCATAAACAAGTTATGTAGAATCTAAAATTCGTAAATCGTAAAGTTGGGTCATGCATTATGACGAAGGTTCATGCAATCAAGGCTGAAAAAATATCGAGATAAACACCGTTGTTTTAGAACAACCTGGATTACGTGATGAATATTGTGAACGGGTTTGCAGGAGTTCTTTTTTCAATTTCATCTTTCATCTTCAAGCTTGTATCACGTTCAACATAAGAAGAAAAATAAATTGAATCAATAAAATTATATGAATTCAATAAAATCAAAATTGAATCAATTAAAATAATTGGAACATAATACTCTCTTGATTGAAGACGAATAAATTCTTCTTAGCACAGCTTGAAGAGCGTGTTACAAAAACTGATCTTTTTTCTTGTGATTACATGTGAATTCGTCAACAACAACTATAACTAAGCATAAACCAAAGAGCAAATCAAACTTCCATCCATGTTTGTAACTTTCTTTAATAATCATGCAATTAAAAATCAAATCCTCATCATTGTGTTGGAAGGTACCCTAAGACACAAACAAACACACAAAAACAACTCTAAAACAACTCTTTTTGGGTTTTTCAAAAAAAAAAATTTTTTTCAAATTTTCGTATTTTCTGTTCAAAACACATAAAAATACTTCAAAACACACTAAAAACACTTCAAAATAGTGAGAAACAACATAGAAGTGATAGGTGAATAAATCCCACGAAAATCATGCAAAAACAGCTTGTTTACCCCCCCCCCACCCCCCACACTTAAACTAAACATTGTCCTCAATGTTTCAAACAAAAACTCACATTCAAACAAACAAACAACATAAACTAACAAAAACAATTATCATGGCAAAGTAAAAGCAATAAAGATAAGGGCTTAGGAACACAAATCTGGTTGTGGATTGTTGGAGATGCCTAGGTCTTCTTTATTTAAATGCATGGGTTGCCTCCCAAGAAGCGCTTGCTTTAACATCTTCCAGCTAGATGATACCTCCTTTTAAGCTTTATTTGAGCCCACAGCATGGAGGGTTACATCCTCCACAACCTACCCTCAAAGTTCTCATAATAAGGCTCTATGAATGGAAGGGGATAGTGATCCTCCCTGATTGTGGTGTTGAGTTTCCTAAAATCCATATAAACACTTCCACCACCTTGAAATCGATTGGAAATCTGCACCAAAGAAGGTAACAACCTATTAGTTGAAATGGGAATTGGAATTGGGGTTGGAGACTTACAAATATATTGTGATGAAGGCTCAAAAATGGTAGCATCGTCAACAATTGCACTATGGTTCTTCTCGGCCAGATTGGGTGCTTTTAGGGCAACCACTCCAATTCCCTCTTCGATGGTGGTTCTAGATGCATCATTCTTGATAGGTGTGAATTGTTCCTGCCCTACATCCTTATTCAATCAATGACAAAACAAGGATGAACATCATTAGGGTTCTTATTAGATTCAGAAACATTAAATTTAATTATATCACCACCAAACTCCATTGTTAATGCTCCATTGGCCACATCAATTTTGGTTTGGGCTGTTTTCATGAATGGTCTTCCAAGTAGGAGTGGCAATGGTGGAGAATGGGCCGAATCTTTCATTTCAAGCACATAAAAATCAGTCGGAAAGATTGATCAACCTGCAACAAAACATCTTCCAAAACTCCTTTTGGATATGCATTAGAACGATCAGCTAATTAAATAATAACTCCATCCTTTTTAAGCTCTCCTAAATTCATAGATGCATAAATAGAGTAAGATCTAAATCGACGAACTGAGTCGGAAATTTCACGTTGGATTTCCGAGCACAGCACTCACAGATTAGATGCCCTGATTCCAGATAGAACCTACGCTCTTGATACCATGTTGATATTTGAGTAGTCTTTCATTGATGAACTCTTGGATTATGAAGGGAGCAAGAAAATACACAGAGAAAGTGAAATACTAGAGTGAGAAATGGAATAATCCCTGCATCATCCACACTGTTGCAGAACAATGTTTTTCATTCATATAGATCATTTCTTACATCAGTTATCACAACCATTCAAATACACGAGCCATTGTGATTATGACACATGGCACTTACAAGGCATGTGAGCCATTGAAAATGAAAACTGATCTAAGAACCTACACTTAGCATATGAGCACAAGTTATCACAACAGAAAAAAAACAGTTATACAATAGGACAAACGTAAATTGAATAAGTAAATCATTTACTAACAAGAAATTAGTAAGCAATTTACTTTTCCACACTAAGTGCTTCCACATTATCAGTGGAGTTGCCCAAGGGCTTCTTTATCTTCATCGGGACTCTAGATTAAGGATTATACATCGAGATTTGAAACCTAACAATATTCTGCTAGATGATAATATGAACCCAAAGATTTCAGACTTTTGGCTTGGCTAAAACATTCGGCGGTGATTAAAGTCAGGCCAACACAAATAGAGTGGTTGGAACCTAGTAAGCATGCTTGGACTTGTTTTGTGGTTTATAATTTCATTGTTCTGCTTTTGAAATTCTTTCTGATTGGTCACTGCATATTGATCTGGCAGTGGTTATATGTCTCCGGAATATGCAGCAGATGGATTTTTCTCGATGAAATCTGATGTTTTTAGCTTTGGAGTCACACTGCTTGAGATGTTGAGTAGGAAGAAGAACACGGGATTTCATCATCCAGATCACGACCACAACCTTCTTGGACATGTAAGTTTAACCAACGAGGTGATGATATTTACATTAAAAAGAATAGTGAATTAGACAGTGCTCTTCGAAGCACGTCTTGTAATGACATGCCATTTAACAGTGTTGAAGGTCTGCAGCAAAGCCCCTTTTACATATTAGGCCACTAACATAACATACATGTTTCAATTTGTTTTAAGGCATGGATACTATGGGTTCAAGATAAACCACTAGAACTGATCGATAAGATGTTTTGTGATTCGTGGAACATATCTGAAGTGTTAAGGTATCTTCATGTGGGGATGTTATGTGTGCAAAGAGTACCTGAGGATAGACCAAGCATGTCATCTGTGGTTTTGATGTTGAGCAGTGATGTTGCCTTGCCGCCTCCAAAGCAGCCTGGTTTTTACACTGAAAGAAGCATCCCTGATGCACCATCAAGGATGCTTCTATGTTCAGAGAATACTTTCAGCAGTAAGGTTATAGAACCTCGGTAGATCATCATTGCAGTGCTTGTTAGTCCTTCAATCTACCATCACAACACGTGTTCGGAAGGTTGACATGAAGTTTATACTCTTAGCTGGGAAACAACGAGACATGCGATTATAACTTTTGAAAGAAATGTATTTACGATTTAGTATTTCCTAAAGCACAACAAAGAAAGGATTTGGAGTTGTTACGTTGCATGAAGAAAATTTAAGTTATAGTTAAAGTTGTGTTTATTATTTATTAATTGTACTTTATTATTTCTTATTAAGATAATTTCATTGAGAAGGAAAGTAGATCATGCATATGTACATAGGAAGTTGGAGAAGCAAAACGAGCCTTGCTCCAACAACACTGTAAACTCTTCTGAAGGAATGCCATATTTGGCTAAGATCACCAAAATGTAAAGCTTTATGGATTCCTTGAGGACCTGACGTCTCATGCGGGCTGATACTAGCACGATCCATGCACTTAGTTCTGGTTCGGGTATTTGATCGAACCAGGCGGGCGATTTGTAAATCGCCGGAATAAACACTCAAGTCTGGTTCGGGACGTTTGGTGGTTAGATTTGACCAAAAGATGTAACTTGTGAAACAGAAGTGAATGATTGCTTCATGATACCACTATTGGTAGAAAAACTTCAGTAGACCACGTGTTCCCGCACACACAAATGCCACACTAGAGTGAGGCAGAAGTTTTCTATCCATCGTTGAAGTGGTCAGATTTATCAGCTGCCGGTCAATTTAGTTTATCCTTTCACTGAGACCAACTTTTCAAACCAAGGTGTCCAAGGTGACTCCAAAGTCTTAACAAAAAGAAAAAAAAATGGTAAAGGAAAAAGACACTGGAAAGAGAGTTAATTTTTTCTTCTTCCAACTCCTCTGCAGAAATGTACAGTTTCAGAAATATGCCAATGCAGTCCTTGAGGAGCATATTTGTGTGTCTGTTCTTATTATCCTTCCTAAGGATCTCATCTGCAGCTACACTAGGCACAATCACTCCGAGACGATCTATTAGAGATGGCGAAACTCTGGTTTCAGCAGGTGGAGGCTTTGAACTGGGATTTTTCAGCCCTGGTAACGCGAAAGGCCGGTACTTGGGGATATGGTACACAGTTTCTGCTGATACAGTTGTGTGGGTAGCCAACAGAGAAACACCACTTGGTGATTCGTCCGGATTTTTGAAGCTGACCGAGCAAGGAGTACTAGTCCTCCTTAATAGCTCAGACAACGTTGTATGGTCATCCAATTCATCAAGAACCGTGGGGAATCCAGTATCACAACTCTTGGATACTGGAAATCTTATTGTGAAAGACGGAAATGAAACGAACTCGGATTACTTCTCGTGGCAGAGTTTTGATTACCCTTGTGACACATTCCTACCGGAAATGAAGCTTGGTTGGGACTTAGCTAGCGGTTTAGAGAGGTATGTCTCGTCTTGGAAGAGCACAGAAAATCCTGCTCCAGGAGATTTTTCACTACGGATAAGTCGTTGGGGCTTACCACAACTTGTTACTATGAAAGGAGCTAAGATACAGGCTCGAGGAGGGTCATGGAATGGTGTTCATTTTACAGGATATGGATCTAGTGGAATAAGAAACCCCAATCCATTACCTGGGGCTGAATTTCGGTTGAACAAGAATGAGGTCTACTATGAGTACAGGCTCCTGAACAGGTCGGAGTTCTCGAGATATGTATTGAACCCGTTAGGCATCACACAACGGTTCACATGGGTGCACCAAACACAGAGTTGGGAACTTTCCTTTACATTCCAAGCAGATCAGTGTGAAAATTATGCCTTGTGTGGTGCATATGCTACTTGCAATATCAACAACGCTCCAATATGTGCATGCTTGAAGGGATTTGCACCAAAATCTCCAAAAGATTGGAACTCAGGATACTGGTCCGGTGGGTGCGTTCGAAGGACTCCGTTGGCCTGCAGCCCTGGAGATGGCTTCCTAAAGTATAATGGGATTAAATTGCCCGACACATCTACCTCATGGTTTAATAAAAGCATGAGCCTCAAGGAATGCAAGTCGTTATGTTTGGAAAACTGCTCATGTACGGCGTATGCAAATCTTGATATCAGGGAGGGAGGAAGTGGCTGCTTGATTTGGTTTGACAACCTTATTGACATAAGAGAATTCGCTATAAGTGACGTTCAGGACCTCTATATACGGATGGCAGCTTCAGAACTAGGTAGCTCCTAGACTTTATTTTTGTTTCTAATGGTGCATAGAAAAATCACCATATATTTTGAGATTAAAATGGAATGGGGTTTTGTCCACATTTTATGTTTTTTTTTTTTTTTTTCATTTTCCTCCCCAAGGGGGTTCGATAAGCCAGCAGTTAGAATCCGCACAGTGAAAATCATTGAGGTTTTTTTAGATTTAGGTCCATAATAAAAGGCAGAACTACATGTTCATCCGCTTGAAAATTAAGTTAGGAGCAGCATGGCTAAATGCAGCTGGTCATAACATCAAAATTACTGCAACATGAGAGATTGCTCACCAAATCACACAAAAGTTTTGTTTTGATTGGGATATTTTAGATCATTTTGTGAAAGAGAGCAAGTTCAACAAGAAAAAACTACCAATTCTCATCAGCTCCGCAGTTTTACTCCTGGGAACGATTATAGCTGGATTGATATTGTACATACGGAAGAAGAAACTCAGAAATGAAGGTAAAAATCCCAGACAAGGACTCCGACTTCTATTTTATTTTTGTATATATGATTATAAGATTCAGGAACAAAAATATATATCAGAGTATCATGACATTGACAATGAAAAATGCAGTAGATAAGGTGTTAGTATTTTATTTCGAAAGTGTAACTAACTGCTCACATCATTTTTACCCGTACTGAAGAGATCTCCTACTGTTTCAGGAGTCAGAAGAAAGGATTTCAGAAAAGAGTACCTTGGAGAAGACAGGGAAGGCATGGAGTTACCGCTATTTGACTTGACCACCATAGCCAAAGCGACTGATAACTTTTCAAGCAGCAACAAGTTGGGAGAAGGTGGTTTTGGACCCGTGTACAAGGTAATAAAAATTCATGCAACTAAGATGAGCTACTTTGCTATACAAAATTTAAGACTTTTCGAAATGGTAATCCATAGGGCACATTGATGGGAGGGAAAGAAGTTGCAGTTAAGAGACTTTCAAAGGATTCTGGGCAAGGAATGAGGGAGTTCAAAAATGAAGTAATACTGATAACCAGACTTCAGCATCGGAATCTCGTAAAGCTTCTGGGCTGTTGCACTCAAGAAGATGAAAAGATTCTAATATATGAATTCATGCCTAATAGAAGCTTAGACTTCTTTATTTTTGGTATTGGTTCCCTCCGAAACTAACCATGTGGCTTTTAGATCATACCATCCTTCACCTTCAAACTTCTTTTACCAGGATTCAGTGTGACACTGATTAACATGCTTAAAGTTTCTTCAGATGAAGAGGGACGAAAGTTGCTCAACTGGCCTAGGTGCTTTCACATTATTAGTGGAATTGCTAGGGGACTTGTTTATCTTCATCATGACTCTAGATTAAGGATTATCCACCGAGATCTGAAAACTAGCAATATTCTGCTTGATAATAATATGAACCCGAAGATTGCAGACTTCGGCTTGGCTAAAATATTTGACACAGATCAAAGTCAGGCCAACACAAAGAGAGTGGTAGGAACCTAGTAAGTATGATCAAACTTGTTATATGATTTATGTTTTAAATTGTGCTGTTCTCCTGAAATTCTTTCTCACTGGTCACTGCAATTTGATTTGGCAGTGGTTATATGTCTCCCGAATATGCTGTAGATGGAATTTGCTCGATGAAATCTGATGTCTTTAGTTTTGGAGTTATACTGCTAGAGATGTTGAGTGGGAAGAAGAACAGGGGATTTTGTCATCCGGATCACCACCTTAACCTTCTTGGACATGTAAGTATGACAAACGTGGTGCTGATATTTTACTTTTAAAAAACACCTCGTCTAATGAAATGCCGTATAACAGTATAGAAGGTGAGCAGAATGCTCCAATGACATGCAATTCTACTAACACATCATATATGTTCGACTTTTTTTCAAGGCATGGATGCTATGGATGCAAGATAAACAACTGGAACTGATAGATAAGACTCTTTCTGATTCGGGCAATATATATGAAGTGGTAAGGTGTCTTCACGTGGGGCTGTTATGTGTGCAAAGAGTACCTGAGGATAGACCAAGCATGTCATCTGTGGTTCTGATGTTGAGCAATGATGTTGCGTTGCCTTCTCCAAAGCAACCTGGTTTTTACACTGAACGAAGTGTCACTGAATCACCATCAAGCATGTGTCCGTGTTCAGAGAACAATGTCAGCACTACATGGATAGAACCTCGGTAGATCATATCATTCTTGCGCTTGTTGATGCCTCTGGTCTGGCTGTCATCGTAAAATGTGTTTGGTAGTCTGACTTGAACTTGTGTGAGAAATTTTAAGGTGAATTACATACTTCATTTTGTTGATCGCCGGAATTAACACCAAATTTCTAAATTTTCAACAAAAAAAAAGGCTCGGAAGAGATAGGAAGTCGGTGCGGAGCTTTGAAACTATGTGTATCCTATTGTTCTAACTTCCTTCCAGTTGCGGCGGAATCCATTCCGTTCAAGGACAATACTTTGGGTACTCAACGGGGAGTACTCAAATTTACTCACCTCTGATGTGGCCCATAATATTACATGTGTATTTTAAAACTTTAATTTGCTATCTTACTAACCTGACAATCGGTTATCATTTTAAACTCATAACCAAACACCGTTCATCTTCTTTCTCATCCTGTTAGATGCCATGGCTGATCTGCCAAAGCTAATCCATGACCCCAGCCACCCCATATCCTCCTCCCCCCCCCACACTCCCCCGCATCAGAGGATTTGCTTTCTCTCTCTCTCGTTCTTTCTCTTCAAATCAACATCAAAAGGAAGTCGCCGGATGCAATCGACGCCGATGATGACATGGTTTCCGGCGAAGGGCAGAGAAGTGGTTGTGGGTAACGTTCTGTGGTTTGATAGACGACGCTGATGTTGACGTGGTCTCCAGAGAAGGAAGGGGAGGGAATTGATGCTGCCATGACTACGATAAAGAAGAGGGTTTGGGGGGCGGGACGGTAGGGCAATTGGAGGAGAAGATGCTGGTGGGTTCGACCGAGGAGACGAGGTTTCCGGCACTGAAACTTGCAGAGGGGGTTGTTTGTATTCTCTTTCATTCAAATGTTTGATAAATGCTTAGCACAACGCCATCAAAGCAAAAAATTAAGGGTATTGGACAACCAATGTCCGAAGAACTAATGTTATTTCTAATGTGTCAACCAGGTGCCATCTTTCCCAAAAAATTTACTCTTTTTAAACAAACTATATTATTTACACTAACAGAGAGGGAGATAGACTTAGCCTCATAATAAGTTAACAATAATATGGTTCAAATTCGCCTTTGTCGAGAATCAAACCTGAGTAAAGAGTAATATCACTAAACCATAATACTAAATGGCGTCATCTTTCTAAATTCAAATTCAACTTGAGTCTCACTTAACTGTTTAAAACTCAAATTCTATCACTAAACTTTTTAAAGCTCAACTTGTATCTTATTTTGCCTTCCGTTTACATTGATTACATCACACAAACAGAGTTGATTGTTAACAAGAGTATCTTCAATATGAAGATACAAATTTGAGATGCAAAATCATAAATTTAAATTATTCCACATCTCCAACTTCCCTCTTTCATATTTTTCAGCACAGGCTATGCATGTGCATTTTAGATTGCTAGTACACATTTTAAGAGATCAATACTGTTAAGAAATCCAACAAAAAAATTAAATAAATACTGCTCAGAAATTTTTTATTTGAATAATTTAAATTATTCCACATCTCCAACTTCCCTCTTTCATATTTTTCAGCACATGCTATGCATATGCATTTTGCATTGCTAGTATACATTTTAAGAGATCAATACTGCTAAGAAATCTTACAAAAAAAAAAAAAAATTACTGCTCATAAATTTTTTTTTTTGAATTCAATATTATCTTTCTGCTAGTTGAAGACTTGACACAAAATCGAGTGTAAGGGCGTTCTAGTATTTATACAGCCGACCTCATTTAATGAGGTAAAGTTTTATTGTTATTGTTGCCACTATTATCCTTGAGTGAAATTATTCTCATCTCAATGTTTTATTTTTTCACCCACATTTTAATGAATTTTTCAATTTCAAATTTGTCCACTTGCAAGAAGACTGATAAGAACTTTTTTTTTTTTTTTTTCCAAATTGATAAAGACATTTTTTTTACCTCCCAAATCTGCAGCCGAAAATTCAATCTGGGTTCCAATCAATTTTGTTCGAAGAACTGGAATTGTACGGAATCAAAGCGGAATGTGATGTCTTCTTTTGCTTTATTTTTAAAAAAAAAAGAAAAAAGAAAAAAGGGTTGGCTGTGTGTCTACCGTAGACTTTAACTCATATTTTCATCTCCTTTTATTTAGTGAAAGCAATAAAATATCAAAAGATTTAGAAAATGACTTTTTCATTGAAGATGTAGAAGATGACGCTTTTATAAAAATGGTAGAATATTATGTTTTTATTGAACAGATAGAAGAATAATTTTATGTGTGAGTCATTTGAATTTGCCCATGGCATATTGGAACTGTCGTTATAGTATTATTTTGAATTTGGATACTTTTGTGATTTTCATTTGAATTTGCAGGCATTGCTTGTAACATTCCGTCCCGAAACTAACGAGACGTACATTTAAAATGACAATTTTACCCTAATTTGTTTGTGTACGTTAAGTGTTGTGTAGTGTGGTGTTGTAGGACCACACACACACTCACACCTCACCCTCACTTTCCCGGGATTCCCTCCCTCATTCCCTCACTCTTTGTCTCTCTGTCTCTGTCTCAGTCTCTCTCTCTCTCTCTCCCCGAATCCATCTTCTTCTTCTTCCTTCAACACACACGGCCACACATACAAACATACTCAAACCTGCACCAATTAAGAAACCAAGACCACCCTCGTGCTCGTGAGGTTGTGAGGAGCACAACCATACCAATTCCAGGTAAGAATTCGAACGTTTTCACGTCGTTTCAACAATGGCCGAATTTTACACTGTTCATGCAAACCTAAACTAGCTTGTTTTTGGAATTTCTAAGCTTGTAGTTGTGCTTGTGAGGTCCCAAGGAGCCTCGGAGTAGTTCGTTGGGTGAATTTGGACGTCGGGATCGTCCTGTACGAAGTTGGCCGATTCTTGAAGTTGAAGACAGGTATGATCTAGCAATTTTTAGGCCTTAAAACTAGTCTAACGTGATTCTACTAGTCCTAAGCTTCATTTTGGTATAAAGAACGTGAAAAATGGTTGAAAAACGAAGGAGAAAACTTAGTTTGAAAATTACCCAGTTTTCCGGCGCCGTCGCCGGCGCCGGCGTCTCGCCGGAGAAGAAAGAAGAATATTCCGTTAAGTCTAACGGAATATTCCTAACGGCAGTGACAGAATCCGGTTAGATTTGACGGAATATTCCGTCAGTTAACGGAATATTCCTGACGGCGTCAACTGACGCCGTCAGTGTGCAGTGCACGTGGGCCGCGCGTGGGGGCGCGTAGGTCCGTGCGTGTTCAGGCGCGTGGGGGCGCGTGCGTGGTCCAAAAATTTTTCTAAAAATATGGGCGTGATCCTGAGGTTGTGTAGGTCACGTTGGTATATTCATTTGTCCATTTTGAGCAATGTATGAGAAGTTATTACGAGAAGTTGCTTAGGTGCTTTTAAATTAATGTTTTCGTAACTTTGTCGCGTATAGGTGATTCGTTTTCCGAGGACGAGCGTACGCACTCGAGGCAGGGGGGCTACGACCCTTCTAATTATCAGTGAGTGGGCTTTTGTTTTCCGTATATACCTATATACATATTAATTCCCAGAAATTAAATAGAAAAGGTTATATGTTTTATGCCATGCATCATTTGAATATTGTTTACGCATCATCACGTGCGTTGGTAGTTGGCATACATATATAAATGTGTATTTGGTGCTGTGGACGCACAGGTAAGTGCCAGGTAAGCGGTATTCATGTGGTTATGCATTCCTGTTTATTATGCAATAGTAGTTTGAAATGCTTAGAGAGCTCATAATCTGCACCCCCGGTGTTAGTGCTCCCGCCCAGGGCCAGGGCACAGTCCTTCACGTGATGTTCACCAGCACCACACGCTCGCCTTGGATCCAAGTTAGGTGCAAGCCTTGTCGTACAGACCACATTAGGTGGTTCCGACTCGTAGGTGACCCGCGATTATTCGCACAGTCTTCACGTGATCGTAGCACTAGAGCGTATATATTACACCCAGTCTTGTCGTACAGACCACGTTAGGTGGTTCCGACTCGTGTGCAGATTCAGATATTGAGTTGAGATTGAAGCTCTATATGCAGCCGTACAGGTCACGTTAGGTGACTCCCGGCTGCCAGATTATATGTTATTGATGTGAATTATGCTTGAACAATTACATTTGATTATGAGATTCTGTTGTGGCATATTCTCAAGCATGAATGGCATATTGTGAGCATGAATGGCATATGTGGAGCATTATTGACATACCTATACATACGTATATATGTTCATTTTCTGGGAAGTATACAGGTTTTACGGCGAGGGGTTAGAATGTATTTTTGTTAAAGAGTTTTAAAAGAGCTTTGTTTTTGCCCACTCACGCTTTTGTTTTTGCGCCCCTCCAGGTTCTAGTGGTCTAGCAAGTTCGGTGGTCTATCCCAGAGGGCGTCCCGGCATTTCTGACAGACACTCACCATTGTAGGGTCACCTTCGGGTGTACATATGTCGTAACTTTCCTTTTTCGACTGCTGTAGACTTGCTCTGAATTGTGTCTCACATACACTAGTACTTTGTATGCTATTAGGTTTTTAATTATTCGTACTTTTATATTACTATACCTTTAGCTTCCGCACGCGCACATGGCTACGTCACCTTCGCGTGACGGCCAGCATGCCCTGATCTCGGTCGGGGTGTGTCAGCTTGGTATCAGAGCCTAGGTTTGGCAGTCCTGTGTCTTTGTGAGTATTCTAATAGTTGGTGTCTTCTGTCAGAATCATGCCGCCTCGTCGGGAACCACGTCGCTCAGATGAGTCTAGTTTTCCTGATCTTACTCAGTTGGGGGAAGTGATTGCTACAGCCCTTCAAACAGTGATGCGCCCTCCCCAGAGGACTCCTCTGGAGACTATGTATAACTTGAAGTTGGATAAGTTTAAAGGTAACGAGGGTCACGAAGGCGCAGAACGTTGGTTGGAACACATAGAGAAGACTTTCCGTGTGTTGCATAACCAGGGGAACCTTCCTATGGAAAGGTGGGTTGAGACAACCTCTTGGTTTCTGGAGATGGAGTCTGCAGCTTGGTGGGAGCAAGAACTTCGTAGGTTGACTCCAGCTCAGAGGACCGATTGGAATGTTTTCAAAGACGTGTTTCAAAGGAGATTTGTACCCCCTGAGTATATCGACCGAAAGAAACAGGAATTCACTGAATTGAAACAGCGAAAGATGACGGCTAACGAGTACTATCGTAAGTTCACTGAT